GTTTGGATTTATCCAGCTGTGCCTGGCTTGGATCTGGCTGCTGTTCTCAGTTCCTTCCGTTTGTTGTCCTTTGGGCTGAACCTGTTGTGCCCCTCTGGCAAGATGTTCTGGTTCTGTACTAGGTGGGTGGTTCTGTCTCCTACACTCTCTGCAGGGATTTCAGCTGAAGTATTTTACCCCAGGCCTGTATGCCGTGCCTGAGCTGAGTCTGGAGGGGACAAGTTGGAGTAGGTGGGAGAGGCAGCTCTCCCACACACTCACCAGGCCTGGACTAGGACTGGAAATGGGGGTTTCCAGAACGCGACATATATTTTTACTGTGTGGGATAATGTTGCAGATCACTACGGAGTGATGAGAATTTCTCAAGAGGGTGAAAGATGGTGTTACCCACGCTGTGCCTTGACTGGGGCCAGTAGGTCATTCCAGGGCAGTGTAGCCAGAAGCTCTCCCACACACTCCCCAGGCCTGGGCTAGGACTGAATCTCTGGTTCCTGGAACGTGGCAGAAATTCCTACTCAGCGGGCAGGGTAGGGGAGGTGCTGTGGAGTGGTGGGGGCCTCCCAAGGGGTGGAAGAGGGTCTCACAGTGCTGCACCTGCCTGGAAACAGTAGGTCCTGCTGATACAGGGTAGCTGAATGTCTGCATGTTGTACTATGAATAACTACTGTGAAAACCACAATATATAATATATGAATTTTTGTAACTGTCCTACTAACCTATTTGGAACTGTCTCATTGCTTTACTTCTCAACAGAATTAATAAAAAATCATTTGTGCATAAACATACCCATTCTTATGGACATGTGCTAGTCCAAAGATATGGCTTTTTAAAACATGATTGTCTCTTTCATGCATGTCATTTAAGAAGCCTGATTGTTGTTTTCCAGCCTGCATCTGAGACAGAAACAGTGGCCTATCCTAATGAGAAGACAGACCGATACCCTAGATTCCATGGTATACATGAGTAGATGAGAATGTGGATAAGTGTGAGGGGAGGAGATCAAGTCATTGCCTGCTAGTGCTCCAAAACCCTGGAAAAGTATACTCAGATTTTATACATTTTTGTGGTTTTATTTGAGAAAAGTATAAACTTCAAGAATCTTCTCCTAATACTATGTGCAAAGATCTTGGTTCTAGTACTAGCTGGCCTCCTACATTCTGTGAGATCTTAGATTTAAATCTTGTAAGTCTCAGCTTAGTCACTTGCAATACTGATCCTCTTGCATGTTTCTGAGCATTAAGTGAGAAGATCATAGATGCTTTTTGGGCAGAATTGACACAGAATAGTGTGCAATTAATAGCTGCTGGTTGTGTCCTTTCATGATAGTTCTTTTAATTCTTGTGTTCAAATACATAATAATTGTATTCATCTTGAGTAATTGATACATACACATCTTTATTTTTATACACCTTTAGCAGTATCACATCTTTAGGAAAATGAGCAATCTGTTTTGTTTATTTTCCCACTTTTATCCCCTATGTTTCTTCCTTTCCCTTCACAACTTCCTTTCCATGAGCCCTCTTACTTCCAACTCACTCACCCAATCCCCAGATCAACATTTCCCTTGCCCCTCCATTTCTCCTACCCGTGGAAAAGCCCTAAATCAGCGGGGCACAAAGCTCATGGTGTAGTTCCGAGGGATGGTGGCAAAGCCCACATATTTGGGGGAAATGTCAATGTCCTGAGGCATCTGCAGGGACTGGAAGCGGAAGTTCTGCATGATGGTGGTGAGGAAGAGAAAGAGCTCCATTTTAGCCAGGCCTTCTCCAAAACAGTACCGCTTTCCTGATGAAGAGAAGAAGTATCAGGGTTAAAGGAAGCCCT